AAAAAAAATTACTTAATTATCTTTATTTGTTTCAAAGTAATAATAAAATGAAAATAAAATGACCTAAAACTTCAATACCTAATTACTTCAAAAATAAATTTTTTTTTGAAAAATATTTTAGGGGGAAAAAGTGTACTCATATATCTACTAAAAATCATAGATAACTTGAAAATTGGAGATAAAAATTTTTCAAGTGGCCGGTTTCACTTATTTTGACCCAATACCATAACCTTAAGAAATTCACTCGAAATTCGCACGAAATTCTGTTTCAAAACGCCGCACGAATTCATAAAATATTTCGTCTAAACTTCTATTTAATTTCGGTCGAATTTTATATGAATTACTGCTCTAAATTCGGACGAATTATTTTCACCTGGGTTAAATCTTCACGAATTTGATCCTGAGAAACTTTTAGTGATTTAACCTCTTCCGAACTATCTCTAAGATCACTATTCGTAGTCATAGTAGTAATAATACACTTTACACCTTTATATTTATTGTTATTTCACGATAAAAAACTATTCGTGTTAAAAAGTCAAGATTTAAGGACAAGGTAATGTCACCTTGAGTGGACCGCCTAAGCTTTTTTTCTTAAAAATTCTTTATGAAAGCAAATTAATCGAAGGTTTCTATTCCAAGCTTTAGTTTAGATCCCTAGACAAGAGTTTATACCATAATAGCTTTGATTTTTTTACTTGGAAGAAAAAATTGACTTTAAAAAAAGCTAATTTTTAAGAAATGAAAAAAGTGTAACCTTGAGTGGACCACTCCAAAAAAAAATTGCAAAAGTTATTTTAAATTCTTTTATGTATTTAACATTTCTGATATATTAATACAAAATTTATGCTTATGCAGCTTCAGACCATGTGTATGTTGCAATGTTTGCAAGTGAAACCATTTTAAATAATTTTGGCACATATCATATCAATATCACAAAAAAATTAATAAAGAATATAAAACATAGTTTCAAAACAATTTATATCCATAAAAATGATAAACTGACAATAAAAATATAAATAACAGGCAGTCCACTCATGGTTATAAACAGTGGTCCACTCATAATGACATGCAACTTTTTATGGCAGCCACCAAAATTTTTTTTTAGTCAAAATAATCACTTAATTAAACTAAGGCAATCAATTTCAATGTTCAAAGTAGTAGGAAAAAAATAAGTTGCCTTTTAAAACTTAAATTTTACACTACTTTTACACTTCCGAATCACTTCACTCATTGTAAGAGCGAATTCTTTTTTGGTTTGTGTTCTTAAAAATTCGTTACATCAAACGATAATGTATATTATTATCGCGGAACTTAATTTCTTACGGTTTCTAGGTGCGGTGCTGCTATTTGCACTATTTATTTCACGTTTCCGCTGTCAGATAATTTAAAAGCTCAGACGGTCCACTCAAGGTGACATTACCCTATTATGTAGACACTTTTAACTTATGTATTTAACTTTTTTCTTGTAGTCTAATCGCAACTTTACACGAATACAAACTCACGAAGAGCGAAATCAAAACACGTCTGCTCGCTCTGAAGGCTAAAGCCGAACTCTAGATTAAAGTATTCTACAAATAACTGCTATATACTTGGTAACTACCGGAAAAGTCGTCAAATTTATGAAAAATGTTACAAATTGTTTCTAAGTAGTCAAAGTTAGTTTAGGGTAGAATAAAATTAACTTAGATTAATTGCAAAACAATTTTACATCTACAATGACATATATATGCAACATTGCTAGCCAATGTCCACCTTAACCCTTTAACGACCAAATGTGCTGATTTTTAACTTCTGTTTCAAGCTCTTAATATTATAAGAAAAAAATTATTAAAAATTCTGCAATCACAAGTCCACATGTTTTTGGAGTCGCTCTTTCGAAAGACATTGTCAAGATTTCCAAAAAGTGACATTTACCCCTTATTTTTTTCAAAAATACTAAATAAATACAAAAATTTTGAAAGTACTTTTTTTTACAAATCTAATTATAGCTGTGATATTAATTTTTCCAGGTCACCTAAGATATACAAAACGTGTTCCCGATAGTTCTAGTTTAAAAATATGCTTCGCGTTTTAAAATTTTTTGTTTTTTTTAATTCAAAATAGCGCCTGAAAATAATTTTTCTTTCAAAATTTAACACAGAATGGATAAAATTTTTAAAAGTTGTTGAATTCGCTTTAAACTTGTTACTCGGAGGTTTTTAGGGTCTCTTATTACGAATCTGAAGTCAGATTTTCAAAATTCAAAATGGCAGATCCAATATGTCGAAAGACAAAATTAAAACTTCATCGTATTGATACTTGAAAACTTAAAAAGCTTGAAACTTAGTACTTGGGTGTTTTTGGGGTTCAAGATTACGAATCTGAAGTCATATTTTCAAAATTTAAAATGGCTGACCCAATGTAGTGTACATATTGAGATATGGGTGATTTTCACGTAACTGCAATTTCAAGATCAGTTTTAAAAGAAAAAAAATTTTGTTTTTTTAATGTTAAACATCACTTTTCCTTATCATTAGGGCATAATATAGTTGTAATTTGAACGATTTTACTACAGCTATAATTATAAAAAAATTATAACAAATTTTAAAAAATTAGCTGCCACGGAGCTGACCACCCTATCCATTGAATTATACTGCCGTCAACTGGGGCTATTTTATGTACGCGAGGTATTTAATAAATAAAATTATTAAAAAAACTTCTTTGTCAAAAAACCATAAATAAATTAATTAAAATCTTTAAAACGATTAAAACTTCAACCGGAGAGCAACATAACGTCAAAAAGTTAACTTTAATTATTATTTATAAGTTTTTCAAATTAGTTTTAAAACTATTTCTCTCGTTTCTCTTAAAATAACTTGAAAAGTGTATCAGATATTAAATTGTTATTCACTTAACCTTAAAATATTAATTTCAAGTTTTTGAAAAAAATCATATTTAAAACGTTTAAAAAAGGTCTTATTGAAATGATGATTCAAAGTTATTTACATGTGTTTAAATGATAGTTTTATAATTATCATAATGTATTATTATGAAATGTATATTTAAAAAGAAAAGTGTTATTTATTTTCTGAGTAATATAAAATTTGAAGAAAGGTTGTTAATTTTTAATAAATCATGATTTTAGCAAAATCTTAGTGTTTCATTTTACATTTTTTCTAACACACGCACCAAAAGTACACCATTTCCTTTCTGTCAAGCGGGAGAAAAGTGTATGATTCCCTCCCGACTAGTGACGTCACCGGGAATGAAGTATAAATCAAAGTATGACCATTGGTGAATCAGTTACGTAAATTCCACAAGTTACGTTCGTTACGTAACTTACGTAAGTATAGTTTCGTTTAGTTTGCACAGTTCATAATTAAGAAACATCAATGAATTTGTTGTATTGTGTTAATCCGTGATCGTCTTTCTCTTCTCTTTCCGTAATGCTCAAATTTGACTTTTAATATTAATAAATAAATTTATAATTATAATATAATATAAATATATTATCAAATTAATATATTATTAAATATAATCATTTGATTTAATTCTGAAGATCGTAAAAAAATTAAATTATAAATTTATTTATTAATATTAAAAGTGAAATTTGAGCATTACGGAAAGAGAAGAGAAAGACGATCACGGATTAACACAATACAACAAATTCATTGATGTTTCTTAATTATGTAGTTTGCAGTTCGAGGCGTAGCGAGCGCACGAGCTGAAGAAAGGATCAAAAAAATGTTTACGTAACATTATAAAAAGACAAAGTTCGATGCACAAAGTAGCCCCATCCCGGGGTCTATTTTGTGCACAACTTTTAATGACTACAACTCCGACAAAAAATGTATTCCATTGCCTAACTCATAGGAAACCTTCAAAAGGAAGTCCATAACATATGGCAAAAGTTGATTTTCTTTTAATTCTGAATTTGAATAAATCATTGAGTTAAAAAAAGCATTTTGATGCACAAAATAGCCCCAGCAAAAATATTGACAATTTACTATCAGCTTGACATAACCAGAGAATTTCATTTACATAACATTATGAAATTAGCACATAAAACTAATTTCAGAAAAGTATTCACCAATAAGAGCGTTATGATCAACAGTAATACTGTGCTTCTGCTATTTTTTAATTTTTTTTTAAATTGAGCACCAAAAGGAAAGGCGTGTTTTTTTTAATATTAAGGTGTTTTTTAATGGGTCAACGGTTGCCGAAGCACTGAAATATAAAAGAACACAACTATGTATGTCCTCTTTTATAATATGTGTTGTTGTAGCAACTGTTGATCCATGAATTTGCACTTTCTCACTGTACACCACAGGCGCCACGGAGCTGATATTTTATGTGACACCATGGAGCTGTCATTTGACATATAAACTAACCTAACTTCGACAATTCTGCAAAATAATTCTTTTCTTTGGACAGATAATTTGTTTCTAATGTAATCTTCAAAAAAATCGTAATAATTACAACAGAGAGTGTTTAGATTAAAAGAATAGTAATACCACGGCACTGACCACTTTTTTGTGAACTTCACATTTTTACAAAAAAAATTGTTTTTAAGTGTAGAACTTCCAATTTTAGAACCTTTTTTTTACTGATATGTGTTGCCAATGGATCTTATTTTAGATTGTAATTCTCAGATAACATTAAAATGTGCCATAAACACTTAAATTATAAGAGAAAATATCTTATTACAAAATAAAAAAATTTGTGGACAAAACTATTTTACATTTTATAACTTTATAGGGGTAAATGTCACTTTTTGGAAATCTTGACAATGTATTTCTGAAGAGCGACCCCAAAAACATATGGATATGTGATTGCAGAATTTTTAATAATTTTTATCTACTAATATTAAGAGCTTGAAATATAGAAGTTAAAAATCAGCATATTTGGTCGTTAAAGAGTTAACATCCTCGGGCAATATTAATATTTTATTTATTTACAAAAGGATTATTTCTAGATTTAGTAATTCAAATTTTAAATGCTTTAAATTACAGTTTACTTACAAGAACATCGGTATTTTCAAAATAATTCCTCCAATAGGGTCGAATTTTTCGAGCTCCTCCAATATCCCAGACATTTAATTTGAAACCTTCACTTTGTACGCTTTTGATATTAAAACCTTGGGTCGGTGTAATCTAAAAATATACAAATTATTAGATAATAGTGAGTAGCTTATACCCTAACCTAAAAAGTGTTTTATGAACCATAAGTCAGAGAAATTAAGGGAAAAGTCAAATAAATTATAAATCAGTTGTTCAAAGATACCCTGTAAAAAAAAAGTATTGGGAGGTACGGGATTCCGTATTGCAAGTGCCAACCTGCCAATGCGGTATTCGCGAAATACCGCATTGGGTGTCGTGGTGAATACGGAAATCAAGGGGTCCCAATGCGGTGCCAGTTTTAAGCTTTAAAAAAACGAAAATACGTGACAGGAGGAAATAATTAGTCTCAGTGGAGAAATATGCGAGTTAAAGGAATGAGAAAATAATAATAGTGAGTGTAAAAATGAAATTTTAAGAAATAAAGGTAAGTTGAACTGTCAAATATGGGCCCAATGCGGCATAGGCTGATTTCAATGCGCCACAGCAAAAGCAACTTTGACTGGTTTGAATGGCGTGAAATAGGTAAACAAACATTTTCTAACACATTTGTCTCCGTACACAGACACTTTTTACTAAATCTGCCAACGTACAATTGGTAAGCATCTTCTAAATTACAATAATCGAAAATATTGTTTAGATTCATGCAGAAACGTGGTTATAAAATAAAAAATTGGAAAGTAATGTAATGCAAATCATATGTCAGCTGGGCCACTGTGTTCGCTCGATTCGCTCTGCTTGCTTCTGCCCTCTACTGGCGACTTGCACTATGTACCGATTGTGTACCGCATTGAAAGCAGCCTACGCCGCATTGGACTCATATTTGACAGTTCAACTTACCTTTTTTTCTTAAAATTTCATTTTTACACTCACTATTATTATTTTCTCATTCCTTTAACTCGCATATTTCTTCACTGACACTAATTATTTCCTCCTGTCACGTATTTTCGTTTTTTTAAAGCTTAAAACTTGCACCGCATTGGGACCCCTTGATTTCCGTATTCACCACGACACCCAATGCGGTATTTCGCGAATACCGCATTGGCAGGTTGGCACTTGCAATACGGAATCCCGTACCTCCCAATACTTTTTTTTTACAGGGTACTTGAATTTTTAAAATAAATTTTATTAAAAAATAAACACATGAATTATTGAAATTTTCTTAAAATGAATACAAGTTTTAAATAATGTTATTTAAAATTCTGATAAAATTGTAAATTTTAATTAAATTTTTGAAAGATTTGAATTTTAAATAGTATATTACGATACTAGGCCAGAAAGTTGGATTTCCTGACCGGCGTGATATATAAGGCCGAGGCTTTATATATATCACGCTCGCTAGGGTATCCAAATTTCTGGCCGTGTGTCGTATACAATTTTTCTGTATCCCCAGCCGAAAGTACGTTAAATAATTATTGTTTGAATAAAAAAATAGCTCAATAAGTTGCCCGCCCGACTTTTGCAAAGTCGAGGCGAAGCCGAGACTTAGCTGGTCGGGGCGGGCATGAAAAAAAAATTATAAGTAAAAAATAATTGGAAGTAAAATTTAAAAAATAGTAAACAAGAAATTTTATTTTACAAATAAATATTTAATAATTAAAAAATAATAGAAGAAAATAAGAAATTTCATGCATTATTTTGATGACTGTCAGTTGTTTTCAAAACGTGAGCTCTGTAAGTAACGTGTCTGTGTGGTTGCTATGCTAACATGTACGTGTGTTGAAATTCTTGTAACCAATCAGAGCGCTCGTTGGGTTTGTCGAGCCGGCCACAAAAGTCGCTATTCCCGGAGCCAAATCAGACCGGGAAGGCAGTACTTTCGGCAAAGGGATACAGAAAAATAATTTTATTAAAAAATAATAAAAAATTAATTGAGATTTTATGAAATTTTCATAAAAATAATACAATTTGTTGGGGCGGTATCAATTTCCTACAATTCAAATATATATATATATATATATATATATAGGAAAACTGCATAAGTTAAAATGCATAGGAGAAAACTGTATACAAGCCAATTTAAAAAATAAAATCATTAAATTATCTACTTTCGATTCACAGTCATCAAAATGAGCAAATCAAAAAAAGGACAATTTCATTCAAGGCAACCATTTTAATTTTTATATTTCAAATTTTTCATTGGATTTTTATTTTCTTTGGACTTTTTGATCAGGCCAAAAATCCAAAAAATAAGTCCAAAGTGAAACTATTTTATTTTTACTTTTTTGGATTTTTTTGGACTTCTTGTCCGGATACCCTTGTATACAGTTGAAAATTATTTTAATTCTTCATTAAAATTTGTAATTTCTAATAGTGTGCGGTTTTCTCGTGGTTTAAATTTGTACAGTTATTTAATTTAATGATTTAATTTTTTAAATTTTCATGTGTGCAGTTTTTGCATGTGCACTTTTCCTGTATACAGCAAAATTGATAGCTCCCCAATTTGATAATTAAATACTTATTTTAAAACTTATTCAAGTAATTAAATAATTTTATTTAAAATTCTGAAAAAATTAAAAATATTAATTAAATTGTTTAAAGATAATTGAATTTTTGAAATAATTTATTAAAAAATTATTAAATTAATTGAAATTTTATGAAACTGTCTTAAAAATATTACAATTTGTTAAAAAATTTCATTAGAAATTTAAAAAAACCAAGGTTTCAAAGAATTTTTATTTAATAATTTATAAATAATTGAATTGACTTGTACAAAGAGTTACAATTACAATTTTTATTAATTAGTAAATTTTAAAATAATTTAGATTAGGTAATTTTTTTGATAAAAGTCTTGAAAAATTTTATTTAAAATTCTAAAAATTTAAGTTTTTAAAATATTTTAATTCTGTTATTATTAATTGAATTGAAGATGATTGAAAAACAAAGTAAATTTAAGGAATCCAAGGACAATGATAATATAAAAAATTCTAAAGATATTCTATCAGTAAATTATATAATTGATGAATTAAGAAGTTGTAACACTCCGCTTTTAAAGCTCAGAAAACTCTTCAGTATTTTAAAAATTTTTGAACAATGGCGCAATAAATTAAATAATTGTAGCGAATCGTGCAATATATCGAAACTTCTTTGTGGCGAGAAGTATGCAACTTTACCGTATGTAATGGTAGGGTTTAATATATTGGTAGATAAACTAGAAGAAGAAATACAACTGCTACAAGAAAAACCAATTTTTACTCTAGTGCAGAAGCAAATTGTGTTCAATATACTAAATATTAAGTCGAAATATAGAGGATTTTGATTAAGATGAAGATGACAGCATGGATATTGACTCTTTTCATAATGACTTTAAGACACAAAAAATGCAGAAGTCTTAAATCAAAATCATTAGATACAAGAAATTGACTTTTATTTTGATCAAGAAAGAGGTGATAAAAGTACGGACGTATTCGAATGGTGGTTCGGTTGTATATGAAAAAGCTTTTTCACGAAGCTCGCTAATTATTAGAAAACATAGAAATAGACTGTCAAATGAGTCTGCTAAAGAATTAATAATAATGTGCTTCAATCCTTGGGTTTCATGTTTCTTATCATCTCGTATAAAAAATGGAATTTAAGTTGATGTTATTGCTCCATTTTTATGAAGATGATTTCATTTTTATTTTATATTTTCATTTCACTATTATTTATAAAAGATTTCACTACTTTGTTATCATGACCTTTTTGTACAGGTGCTTTTTAGGCTAATTTAGGGTCGCTGAAAACGAATATGACCACGAAAAATTTTTTCAAAGAAGCATTTTTGAGATATTGGTAAAAAAACACATTTTCCAGTTTATTTCTTATTTTTTGCAAGAAATATTGAAAATGATAAAATAGATAGAATTTGTATGGAACGTTATGTTTCTTCATCATGATGTATTATTTATGTGAATATTATTGAAAATTTTTTGTTTATCATTGCTGAAAGTCGAAAAAAGTGATTTTTTACCGTTTTTTTTAAATTTACGCCTATTTATTACTTCTAATAAGTTATATAAAAATGTTTTCTATCTAATTTTATAATTGCATGTCAAAAATAATTTCAAAATATTTTATTATTAATCATTACACAGGCCGACAAGATTTACTTTCCAAGAATCAGATAATACTTTTCCGAAGGTTTTCGACGTGCTGAATCCGAATTCGGCCTTAAAATAGACCCATCACGTCAGGTTTTCGAGATATTTTAACCTAAAAGTGCAAAAAACCTGTTTTTAGTCATATTTGATGTCATGTAACATCAAGAGATAATTTTTTCATTTAAAAAGTCAATATTGCGTCTAAAAGTGCTACTCTTCCCCTTTAATATCCATTTTGAAAATTTAAAAAATCTTTATTTGTCTCTGAGTAATCGTTCATTGAATTTTTTGAGTTTGGCGAATTCTTCGAAAACTAAGTAGAAACACAAAACTTCGATAATAAAGCAGATTTTAACTACAAACATCTAAATTTTAAATAGTTCTGAGGATTTTCGATATAACTGAATACGAATTCGATATTAGATTCACAAAATTCAAAATGGCGTATACAATATGGCAGACGATTTATTTCAAATTGATTGTATTTTCCTCAAATATGCCATTTTGAATTCTGTTAATCTGATATCGAATTTGTATTCAGTTATATCGAAAATCCTTAGAACTATTTAAAATTTAGATGTTTGTAGTTAAAATCTGCTTTATTATCGAAGTTTTGTGTTTTTACTTAGTTTTCGAAGAATTCGCCAAACTCAAAAAATTCAATGAACGATTACTCAGAGACAAATGAAGATTTTTTAAATTTTCAAAATGGATATTAAAGGGGAAGAGTAGCACTTTTAGACGCAATATTGACTTTTTAAATAAAAAACTATCACTTGATGTTACATGACATCAAATATAACTAAAAACAGGTTTTTTGCACTTTTAGGTTAAAATATCTCGAAAAGCTGACGTGATGGGTCTATTTTGAGGCCAGATTCGGATTCAGCACGTCGAAATCCTTCGGAAAAGTATTGTCTGATTCTTGGAAAGTAAATTAAATCAAATTTTGTTGGC